AATGAATTGCAATTGATTAATTAGGAAACATATTAATATAAAAATACCCAGTTGAAAAGGAAAATGAAATTAAAAATGAAATAAAGACATTGATCTTTATTTTTCTGAAAAAAAAACATAATAAATAGTTGTAGCAAAAATTTTGTTGTGGAAAAATGCACCTGTTAAAAACTTACTGCCAATGTCGTTGGCTGCCGCCACCGCTGTCCATCTACTTTCGGAACCTGAAAACAATATGTTAAATTAGATTTATCATCAATTTTCTTGCATATATAATAATATAAGTATCTGATGGTCTAATGGTCTGACAGGTTAGGTTAATAATTATTAAATAATATTATATTATTTATAAGCACAAATTAAATCAATCAAACACTTAAATAATATATAAATATATCCTTACGGAGTTCGGCGGCGTCCTCCTCTCCGCCGTTTGGTACACGGCACTGTTTTCCTGAAAATAATGGGTTTTATTGAAGTTTTATTTAAGTTTAAATATTAGGCTAATTTATTCTTACGGTACTGCGCGACCGCCTACTGCGGCTGCGTGCACTCCGACTACGGATCTCCTGAAAATAATTTGTTTGGTTGGATTTATCGATATCATAAGCTTGAAAATTTTTTATGCATACCAATGTTAATGGGGCTGGTAAGTAGGTGCGGCTAGAGAATGAACGGGATCGGCGATCCCGTCGCCTACCCGTGCCTCCGGCTGCAACCACCTCCACGACCACCACCGCCACCCCTTTTCGGGCCGCCTTTGGTGGGCTTGGCTACAATACAAATTGCAATTATACTATATAAAGATTAAGACTGACTTTAAGGAATATGTAAAGTAAACACTTACCGCAATTCCGGGACACGTGGCCCTTTTTGCCGCAGTTGTAACATACTGAAACAGGTAGACATCATTTTAATCGTTTCTACTTTTATACAATATATTGACTTATGCTTGCGTCGTTAACGGCTGTTATTTGAGGCCGGTCCGTCCCCGATATTGATGTTGACCGTGCCTCTTATGTGGTACGTGTGTCCTCCCATGCTAAAGTTAAAGAAAATTAAGAAAATTAAAAAAATTAATTGATTCGTTTGTATTATTATGTGGTATTCGTTTGACAAAAACAGGTGGTGCGCACTAAACCTAAGCCGCGATTTATATAGTATAATAATTAATAATAATATGCGTTAGGTAAAATACGATCTGCGGGGATCGTGTTAAAAACAGCAAATTAAATGAATAAACAATATATACTCACGTTTTTGTGGTTTTCGGACGAATCAAAAACAAAAACAACATCCACTGCCGGGAGTTGGACGGTTAATAACGCGGGTGCGTCAGTCGTTGGTCGTCGGTACAGTTCATATGTCCAAGGTCCATTGTCTTAAAACGGCGACAATAACGAGTGTCAACGCAGGTGACCCTTGCGGGTAACTGGAAATCGGAAAAAATCAGTCTGTTCAATAGTCTTTAATGGTCATCAACACCTCAATGATCCAAGAAATCCAAAATATAGAGGCGTCCGTAATCCTTAAACATTTCAATGACATTGTACTTAAGAATTTCTGTAATCACAAAATTATATACACCACTGGAACAAAACAGGACTAGCTATAATTACAGATGAAGAAACCTTCATGTTCTCTTCACTGGAGATTAATTCTATTTTCACCATCGAGGCACTAGCGATCCTGAAAGCCATAGAACTAACTGAACATAATTGGAAAAATACAAAGTCCTTCTTAATCAGACTTAATAGCCACCGATTCTCTTAGTTCTATCCTAGCTTTACAAAACCAAGGGACACCAAATGAAATAATAAAAAACATACAAGAAAGAGCCTCTTCCCTTGCCCCCCGTTCGGTAACCTTCATGTGGATTCCTGCCCACAAAAACATACCAGGAAATGAAAAAGCTGATGTAGCAGCTGAAGAAGCCGCCACCAACATAGACATCTCATCTTTCAAGGACACTGCCCGAGACGCCTTAAAAAGTAGCAAAAAGATTCACCAACGACTCTGCGACCAGGAACTGAACAACAAGTTATACCAAATAAAACCTTTTTTGTCACCTAACCCGAATCCTCCCTCAAGTACGAGAAGACAACAAATGATATGGACACGGATAAAAATTAGACACACTAACATCACACACGTCTACTTAATGAGAAGAGAGCCGAGACCAAACTGCGAACTCTGCAACAACGCCCTGATTTCCATAACATACCTACTCCTAGAATGCCCTAATCTAACTGAACAAAGAAAAAATTTTCCTCGCCTAACATTAAGAGAAATTTTAAGTATAGACAATTTTAACTATTTAATAACATTCCTTAAAATAACCAATCTATACAATAGAATCTAAATTGCTATAAACTATTGTTACCTATACCATTATCACTATATTCTTGTACTATACTATATTATCTTAATTTAAATATTATGATGATTGTAAATAACTTTTAAACATGTTTTGTTCCCGGCTAATGACTTTAATGTTGAAGCCGTATTAATAAATAATAATTTTAAAAAAAATGGTCTTCAAACACTACCGCCTTCCACCGAATACCGAGAAATCGTAGTCCGCTCACTATCAGCAAATAACTTATTGCAGGAGCGACTTTTAAAATTTTCAAAATAGCGCGGCCGTCCATTATTCACTTTATTGTTCTATGTTTGTTATAATATAGTATATTCATTCGTAGGTATGAATGTAGCTTGCGTTTGTGTACCTAATACACGTGGATGTCCACGGGTTAGGTATGGCGATAAACCATATACTATACATATAATACCCGTTAGATTATGTCCGACGTCGAGTTGGGTGACCGACCTGCTAGACGAATAAAATGAACTTCTTTTAACTCTGTATCAGATGAAGCGAACCAGCCATCCGATGTTGTCCATCGTTGTACCGGGGTGACCGCGTCCAACCGCAGTGGTCCAAGTTCAACCTCCATATCACCGCTATCTACTATCACCGACCACTACTATCGTACACTCTCGCCGACCGCGACTCTCATCGCCAACGCTCCGGACCACCGACACTGGTCTAACAAAATATATCTGAAAAGGCAGTGTATCTTTCATACTACATAGATATACTATTATGCATATATACATGTTTCTTTTTTTTAATTCAATAAATTACATTCTATTATTTTGAGTTTTTGGTTTTGTACTCGGGAGTCACAAGGTTATCCTATAGAATAGCTACTCGGTGTCACAATTGGTTGCTCATGTTGGTAGTAAGATATTCAATTGTAGAATAGAATTGAAGTTAAACGTTTGTCGACGCCAATCGAATTAGCCTATATTTACAGCCACTGATACTATAGTATTAACTATACTACCAAAGTAACCCCCCAATTACATGTAAATGTATTTAATTTTTAAATTAATAAATGGAAAATTGACGTTCAAAGCTATTTACTCCACAAAATTGTTCATTTTCATTTAATGAGTTATACTAACATTGACACCTCTATATTGCTTGACCTAACTACACGTAATGCTGTTGATTGATATTGTTATAGAATTTTCATTTAATGTTAACTCTATTATGTTGATATAAAAAAATCAATATAAATAAGGTAATATATCATGCAATTGTGAACAAATTATAATAAATAAAACATAATATATTAATTGATATTCATAGCTATTCTTTTTACGCAAGCTGCATACCTACATTGATTTATACTGTTGGTACAGCTGTAACTAAATTCTACCTTTAAGAAATTCTAAATTATGTGTCCATTATAATAACACATACAGATTTCATGTAAATTTCTTTAATTATGATAATTAAATCAAATTAATAAATTGATAACTAACTTATATAATAAACATAAATAAAACAATACCTCATAATATGTATAATAAACTTGTACGGGCCGGGAACGAACAATAATAGTCCGCTACGCCCTGTCACCAAAATGTCTTTACGCCGACGGTATCAACCATTTTAGGTAGCAGCTTGCCAGCCGTTCACCGTCATATTTGTGAGTTTTATATTTTTATTACACTACATTGTATTTACATAAGCGCCACTCTTATATTATATCTAATATTAAACTCTGTTGGGCCAGGAGGGCCATTTATATAATTTATTCTGTTGGGCCAGAAGGGCCAATTTCATTTTACTATACTTGTGTGTTGCTGTGAATTCTATATTTGTATTGTGTATTATTTAAATTTATGTACAATACAGCAAATCAATTACCCAAATTTAGTTACCACTTAATGTTTTGAGTTACCCTGTCATCTAGTTTTTAAGCACACACCCACACACATACACACTTACACACCCACCGCACACTAGCACTCTCTAGTCTCGATCGGCGATCCCGTCCACTTCTACAGAGTCACTATACACATATACACACTTATTACACAGGTCGGTGCGTACGGAATATTTTGGTGGGTATCATGTCTTTACGCCGACGGTATCAACGCCGACGGTATCTACTCCGATAGCATCGACGCCGACGGTATCTACGGCGACGGTATCTACGCCGACGGCATCTACGCCGACGGAAAAAATGCCGATGAGCATCTACGCCGATAGTAAATACGCCGATGGTATGTTTTTTTACAAAACGAATGTTTTTCTATGGGACTAATATGAAACTGAAAATTATGGAAAATTAATTATGTTATTAAATAATTAAAAATAAAATACCTAACTCGTGTTGCCTAGTTTTTTTTAATAATAAATATTTTTTGGCTCTGAAAAGAGCCTTTTTATGCCCTAAAAAGGACATTTTTTAAAACGACGAGTGCCCCCTAAGCATGGCCATTTAGCAAGATTGGAATTGAAAATTATGAGCAATTCCCTGCAAATAATCGGAGGTGTCGCGATTCCCATAGTCTTCAACGATTTCTTTAATACGCAATGCTGTGTCTCGATAACACCGTCGTCCCTGTGCAGGTGGTAATCCAGCAATGTTGATTTGGAATTCTTTTAGGCTCTGCTGATTTTGCAGACCCTCAATGAATTTTCAAATAGATGGATGATTTGCTCCTAAAAGAGAGCTGAATCCTCGATGCCAGCCTTCAACGGCGTTGTTAGTTTTGGGTAGGTCATTCAACGATGCCTCGTAACAATTCCAGAGGCTCAGCATAAATTTAGGAAGCATTCTGCCAAGGCCGGTTCGTCGGGGCTTTCCAATCCACGTAGACTCAAAATAATCTACCAAATCTGACATCAGGTCTTCGTTGTCCGTATAAAATTTTGTCCGGAGGAGTCTTTCAAAACAATCAACAACGTCAGGCTCTGGAACATATGCAAGAGCGGCCAACTTTCGCACGTTCAATGCAAAATCCGGATCATCCTTATCCTCGTATTTGGGTCGAATGTCAGCGATTGTCTGAATTTTTCTCCAAATACATTGACTGAAGTGAAAAAAACAACCTCTGTTCCTGATGTCTGGGAAATTATGAGAAAAAGCATTTATCTGGGCATTTTCAAAATCGGCCATAACACTGACTGGAGACAGCCCTGGTTTAAGCAGCTTCAGTTTATCCAATACACGCGAATACGTATCTTGACATTTATCCGGCAACAGTGCGTAAACCGTTGGCAGAACGTTATTATACTTAATCGCGTGTATTGTAAAAACTTGCTTAAACAATGGCGGTGACGTTTTAAATGTACCATCAGCGTACCAATGGTCACATGTCGCCATCAAATCCAAATTCTTTTGCGTGCTAAAGATAATAATTCTATTATCTGAAGCACCGCTGTCGAATTGGTGAAATTTATCTCCAGCCACCGTATATGTGTATTTGTCGGGAATCAGTAAATCACGCATGTTGGTGGGGCAAGACATAGCTCCCGCTGCCTTTTGTCTTGCTTTAAGGATATTTCGTTTTATCCCGGCGACTGGTGGGAGAATTCCAGCTACTGCCGCTGGGAGACTCGACGTAACAGAGGCTAAAATTTGCTGTGGTGTATCCATCACCGTTTCAGCTTTCTCTGTTACGTCGAGTCTCCCAGCGGCAGTAGCTGGAATTCTCCCACCAAATTTTTTTCGCGAATCTCACCGATTTGAACGTCCGAAGCCGGTCGAGACGGTCGTCCGCTTCCCCACGCGGTCGATCCCCCCGCTCGGACGCCCTCCGGGGGACGCAGACGCCGTTTCGGGTGGACGGCGACGCGGCTTAAGAGTCGTAGATTTGACTCCGGTTGTCTTCTACGAATGGATCTTCGCAGGAAAAAATTTTTTGTGTCCGTATATAATATTGCCTACATTTAGCCCCTTTTTTGCAGTTATCAAAATGTGATAACATTGATAAACCGATAACATAATTTTCATTTTAAATTATAATATTATATTTTATTATATTAATTATAATTAAAATAGTTAAATGTAGTTAATAAGTTATTAAAAACACAATATCGTAATTTAAAATTTAAAAATACACAATTCATTG